CGTACTCCTGACGGAAGGAGGCGTATCACTCCAGTACTCCTCAACACTGTACCTCAGTCTGGACTCTCCGATAGTCCTTTCTCTAATTCTATGATAATGGCCACACCTCCAAAAACCACACCTACTAAGAGGCCACACCCAGATGAAGAGTGTACAGCTAGTCCTACTCCAATCAGTTTTGCTCCTTTATCTCCAGTGAACGAGCCTCCAGCTGTTACTAAACAGTCTCTACCTAAGCAGGAGGCAGTTGAGGTCACTGGGTCTGGTAAAGGGAAACGTGTCAAGAAAGTTAAAATAACTAATGAGGAATCGTTAGCCAAGCACTCTAAGCCATGTCTACAAAAGCCACATCCACCAATTAATAATTATTTAGAGTGTCCATCTCTCCTTCCCTCTCTATCCCTTCAAGTGGGTGGAGTTTCTCTGGAAGCGACCAATGGCAGTGGAGGGACTACATTATCTTGTAAAGGAGGGGACCTGGCCTGGTCCCTTCTCCTTCATTCTCCTGTCCTCTTGCTCGGAGCTAGTCGGGCAGTGACAGCTGTTTGTGGTAATGATAGGACAATGGCACTGGTTTCCACGGCAACAGGACGTGTATTGGTCTCTCGTATTTTATTAATAAATGATCCATTTCAATTGAAAGTTAGTTTGCACTATGTTGCCATAGCAACTGTTAATGCAACCCTATCAGTCTTTGATGTGACTGGCACTCGGTCAATGGTCTCTGGTGCCTCATTCCATCACCTACTGACGGCCGCTGGAGGAACAACTGGTGGGATCAACATTGAAATAACGGAGACTGGCGTACCGGTTGTTATGACAACCAACCGATCATATGGATACCATTACCTTATGGAGTGTTGGGTTGAACTGACTCACCAAAAGGAAGCTGCTCAAATGAATCCATCAACCAGTGGAACTGATATATCAACGCACCCACTGCACTACATACAGTCAGTGAGTGGTACAAGGACCAGTAGTACTACAGTAACCTCTACTGAGGAATGTCTTTCTTTCTTAGAGTCTCAGCTGTTTAGAAGTTCTTGTCTTCAATCATCAGTCGAATACGAGTCCTTGTTAAAGAGATATGTCACTTATCTGGTGAACCAGTCCCTCAGTGAAAGGCTGAGAGAAGTGTTCATGATGTTAGTATCTTGTTGTAATCACACTGGACAGGGTCTAGTACCAGCATCAGTGGTAAATGGACCCACTCTTAATCAACTGCTATCAATAATAGCTACCAACACTAACCTACAGAGACTATATGCAGAACTTAAACTTGTTTTTGATAGTATCAATTAATTTTAACGATACTTTTAAATGTCAATTTAATTAATAGATGAAGCTATTTTCACGTCAGCATCCAATCACATGCCATGCTTTCCAATTAATGACAGCAACTTGAAGAATTGACGTCAGAACCAACCCAAACTTTCTACACAGCATAAGGACATCACTGTATCAGAAAATGTAATTAAAATTGTGAATTCTTTTCAATTCTGGTAAAATTTGGCCAATATCCCTGTGCGAATAGTACAGGGACTTTGGTGTAAGACCTGTTATACTATATCCCAACTGAGAATGGACCGGAAGTGGAAGCAGCTGCATTGGAATTTGAAAAATGTAGCTACGTCACCAATGACGTCTTATAATGATATTCATAGAGACATGGCCGATATTTCGGCTGTGTTGTTTCACTCTTAAAATAGTCTTGTTCTTCCTGATAAGCAGTACAATAGCTGCTGGAGTCACCTAGTCTTCATAAAGGCCACCATTATCAGAATATCTTGCTCTATTAGCTTTTTAAAAGAAGAATTATCAGTTTGGGCGCTCGACCACATGTGCTTATGTAAACTATGACATCATAGAACGTCATTGCGGTTAGCTTTGGTATGCCATTGGGTTTATAGGGAGAACCCGGTTCTCAGAGTTCCCAAGGGCTGAGAGACCTAAGACCTGAGATCCTGAAGC